TCTAAATTATTTTTTAAAAAACATCTAATGTCTTAAATCATTTGCGATGTAACAATTTTGTCTTTAAAATAATTTAAAAATAGCAAAAAATGCATTTTTAATTTAGATTCACTTGATGTAATAGGTGATATTTTTTGGTCAACCTTCTCTGTTAGCATTTTTAACTGTTATGTTGAGGTGATTAACATTCAATGACAAATCTAGAAACAATTTTGTGAGGCCAAAATGCAAAATTACATAATAGTGAGGGCCAAAGTTAATTTTAGCATTTTTTCACAAATGAAAACCGAATAATTTTTGCAAAAATTTCGTGACATGGGCTCCTAAACGTGTCCCTATTAACATCAGGGATAAATTTACTTCATTTCAATTACTTAGGGACAAAATTATTATAACAAATATTTTAAAATATTGAGTATTAAATATATACCTTCACCCATTATCTTATAATAATGGTACATGAGGGAGTTTATAAAAATGTGTTGGCACTGGTCATCTTTCTTTTTTACTTTTTTGGGTAGCAAATCATCCTGCGTCCAAAATCCAACTGCTTTAACTAATTTGAATTTAGTTAAGTTGAGATTCTTTTGAGTGGAAGCTCTGCTATCAAATGTTAATGTATTCTACGAACTTGATCTCAAGTCGATATAACACTCTTATTACGGCCCTAGTCATTCCAAGCAACATTGGAACATGAAACATCTCTTTCTCACTTACAAAATATCGTCGGACAATTTACAAGGCTCAAAGTGGGGGTAGACTAGAGGGAGGTGCTTGGAGATCTACCTGGAAACATCTTGACTGGGGAAACATGCATGGTAAGGGAGGCATCGTAAAATTAAAATGGAAGAGTGGCCGAAAAGGCGTGCCGAGTTTCGGACTGTCGTTCAGGCGCAAGTGGGCCTCCATTAATGTCGTTTCTTTTGGTCAAACCTCAGAACTTGCGCCTCTACTTTTTTGAAAATACCAAAACGGCAGAGGCCTGCTTATTCTGGGAAGTCGTGATCACCGTCAGATTATGAGAAAACGACATCCATTTCCTCGACCTGTTGCATCGCCTTCTTTCCTTCATCAGTATTCCTTTCTTGGCTCCATATCCTTGCTGCCATTCCATATTTTATGCAACCACATTAACTTGTCTTTTCTCTAATTCAAAACAATGCTTTGTCTCTATTTCTTAGTAAATTGTAGGAACTCAAACGGTTATAAATTAGACAGGTCCAAGTTTATGAGAAGAATCATTAGGGTTAATTAATGAAGTGGCGTCACATCCTCTGTCACCATAAAACATTTATTGAATATACATGTTTTACTATAAAACAATCCTCGGCCTCTTCACGACTCTGTTTTATGTTCATCATAACTGATCTTATACAGGGAAAGAGATTTCCAACTGCCCTTAAATAAAAAGGAGTTTGTAGGAAGGATATTATAAGTAGAAAGTCGTGACACTGCTTTGAGCCTTGGAGACACAGATGAGTACACAGGGAAAGGACAGCCACTTGGGCATATTAATGTAGTTAACAATAATGATTGAGACATCACAATAAATTGCTGGGAAATGGAATTCTGTCAACTTCAAGCGCCATAACTGAGGGATGAAACATCGTTAAGACCGATCGAAATGAAAACCAACAAACCATTTCCCAAAAACCGTCGAAACAGAGCCTCATGGGGGATGCCCCGTTTTGTCTCATTCTCCAACTGTAAGTTTGAGTGCCATGCGAGGATAAGAATCATTGGCAAGGAGTCCCAACATGTTAGCTTCTTGATACGTCCTTTTTATACATTCGTTGTACATGAAAAGCGATCTTTTGGCATTTGTTGTGTCATTTCTTGAAGCAAGATGCCGCCGTCCGCTTCTTCGTCTTCCTTTTTTTATCAATTCGATCAAGACAGATCAACAAATCAAAGCTTAACACCAATAGATGAAAAGCCATGATCTCCTGTTTAAACTAATAATTAATTATTTCCTACAATTTCGTCCCTCTTAATCATATAGAATGAAAACCCCTTTTGTCCGCACATCTTAATTTTTAACGTTTGGAGCAGTATAATGTCAGAAGAATCAACGTCTCACCCACCTCTTAAATAAAAACTCATGGTGAAGTGAAACGTGGCATCTGATTCAAATTTCTCCGACCTTGAGATCGGTCAGCTGCATAAGACTATCCAAGTTTAAGGAGGGCTCGTTCCAAAAGATGGTCGCATCTATGTATATACTAGTATATCATTAACTTTTATTTTTTAAAAAATAAAGCGTATTATTAACGTTATTAGTAATTGGAACTAACCAAACATGAGGCCCTCTGTTTCCTTTGCCCCAACTTGAAAGTGACCTTCCAAGACATAAGAAGGCGTAGAAGAAAGAAAAGCCTTGAATGCTCTGTTACTATTAATTATTAGCCTTCAAAGTTCAAACACTAAAAAGGCCCGGGGCTGAACTTTGATGCCTGTCCCTTATTTTCTTTTATTTATATTTCATTATGTTCACCGCCAAGTCGCCAACCCACGGTATGGCATGTTCCGCATCTTCTTTTTGTTTTCCCCCTTTAATTTATTTGTTTTGCCGGTCAAACTCTCTTGATGTGATTAGTTGTTCGAATCATCACCAAATCCACATCTAGGAGACCACGCGGCAGCTGCGTGCTCCAGTTTTAATTTGAACCAAACATGTCCGTAACCAGTTGTGGAAAAAAAATCATATTCCGAGATATTCCAACACTAGATGGATCAAATAAGCTAAAATAACAGCCAAGAAACAGAATCATAGAGGACTCTGGTTTGTCTCCATTCTTTTTCTTCTTTGGAGAAATAGTAATAATGATAAATTAAAAAGATTCATAAATATATGTATCTCATTGGCACACATCCTCTCTCTGTTTAACTAATAAGTCAGAGTTAAGTCAAATAGCTGCATTCCAAGTTGTAAGGTGTGCCAAGAGTTGCAAACATACGAAAATCAAAAACAGCGAATGGCAAGCTGTTGGTTAGTATAACATTAGGTGAGGGACGGAGGTGCTGGAATCTCCCTTGGACAGAAAATGATGCTAAAATACTCGTCGTTTTGTCACTTCCTTTTGCCTGCTTATGCGTCTTCCGCAACTTTCGTTCCAACAACATACACCATTCATCTAATTTATTTTTTCTTTTTTGATAGGACCATTCATCTAATTTCTAAGTATGTGTTTGATTTTCAGTTTGTCAAAAGTTTATTTGGTGAAAATTTATTTGATAAAAATCAATTTAGTGAAAATTAACTGTTTTAACGAAATTTGTATTTGAATACATTTTTTCAAAAATCAGTTTAGTACACTGAAAGTTATTTGATTTATGATAGTAAAGTGCACTTTTAAATGTATAATTATTAAAAAAGACATTAATTTATGATGATTTGTAATTTTTATTATGCAAATATAATATATTTAAAATATTTAAAAATGTGATAAAGATTTTAAATAACATAAATTTTGATCTATAATGTGAAAAATTTAATCTCTATTTATTTTTATTTTTTAATTTGTAATTTTAAAAAATGTGATAAAGATTTATAATTTTTATTATGCATTAATGTTAAAATTAAGATGATTAATTATTTAATTTAAAATGTTAAAAACATGATGCCTAATTATTATTATTGAAATAATAATTATATTTTTAATGAATTAATTATTTTTTAAATTAAAAAATAAGAGATTAAATTTGGGGTAGTATGATTAAATAACATTCTACTTTTTAAATTCACTTTTCATAAGTTTTAAATAATTATGTTTTAGAAATTTATTTTCACCTATTGCTTGAATATATTTTCAAGATGTGCTTTTTTATAAAATATTTTAATAAAATAACTTTCAGCTTTTTAAGAGTAAAATTTTATTTTCTAAATATAAAAAGTAAGAAAATCAAACGAAGCTTAAATTACTGACTTTGACCACTTTTGCCTCATTATCGTTTCACTGGTTTAACGATGATATACATATAATGAATCTGTAATTCCGTATCGCTTTCACTAGTTCCAAGTGATATCATGTAATTTTATTTCTGGTCCCAAAAGAAAAAAAAAAAACAAACGAGGGGTTTCTCCCTACTAATTCTTCATTGCAAATTTAAACTGTTGAAATTAAATTTTTATTTTTCAAAATTATTAAATCAAAGTTAATAGTTCAGATTTGCAATGATTTCTCGCTTGTTCTTTTTTGCAGGAGAGAAAAATCAACTCCTTGAAAGAAAGACCATTTATCTATTACATCGGAGTGATACATTTGCTTTGGCTTTTTCATTGTTTTCAATTTCAATTCATGGTCAATGTAGTCCACGTTCGTATTAGCAGCTTGGATTTTAAGTAATTGGAAAGTTCCTTACTTTCTTAAGCAGGCAAAATATCCTATAGGGAGTCCTGATTCCTGAGGAAGAAAAATTCTCCCCTGGACGTAACTAGGAACAAAGAACGGGCTCATGTGCACTCTTTCACTTTTTTTTTTTTTTTTAAATAAATCTCTTATAATAAATTTTCAATCCTTGCCCAACGTATTGATTCTGAACCACTGAAGGTAGTTTACTTAACGCCCTAGATACCAATTACTTCCCTACTGGGGTAAGCATAAAGAGGAACATAGCCGTGACAGATCGTGTTGAATTTGTTCTTCCCACCCTTTGAAGTTTAAAACCTAACCACGCAAGTTTCATTTCGAGTTCCATCATAGTTACACACCCCACGTGCTCAGCCCATCTCTTTTAAAGTGGAAAGTCACCTTCTCAATTAAAGTTCCAAAATCTACGGGCATTTTTTCAACGTTACTCCCATTTAACAGCCCCAAAAAAGAAGGGGAAAACACTTTGCGGGCTCGACGTTTCCAATGAAAATATCTTCAACAATGTTTCGATGGGACCCAAGTTATGTCGAAAGAAGATACGGTAACGGAACATATTGGAGCCCCTAAACAGAAGCTTGGAAACGCTAGAGACGCGAGTTCAGTTATATTGAGGGGAAAAAAAAAAACTGAAGTCAACCACTAAAATTAATACTCTGAATGGTCGTTATGTACAAATGAGTTGTGTGCTGTATACACCAAATTCGCCATGTCTCTAACCTAATGGCCCGTCTGCGCCACCAAGAATCCTACCTATATCACAACCTAATGTGGAAATCCCCATCTCTCCTATTAAATCCTTACTACCTCACACAGAATTTAAAATGGTGGGGCTCTGCCATTCCCTCCAGCTGTGTATTACCTAATATTGTCCCACCAACCAAACCCAATCGACCTACAACAACTACTGCCAAATCCCACCTTTACTTTCTTATGTACAGAACTACAGATAGCCCAAACCTGACGCAAAGAATATTATGCTATAAATTTTCTACGCTCCCTTTGTGCTTTAAGAACACGATTTGATCAGCCCCAAATTGTATAGATTCCTTCTCACGAGGCTCCCGATAGACAATAACACTGTCCCACCCACTCCAAATGTTTGATCTTCCCTATCTGCTTTCTGATGACATATCAATGGCAGTTCCTTCACTTTCAACTGATTCAGCCCAATCTTCTCCCTCACAGATTCTATGATTTTGGGGTCAGCGGGGTTTCCAATCGCATCCGTTACGTAGAACACATTTGCAGCCTTGTCCTCCATGGTGGATATCTCAGCCCTTTTCACATTGAGTCCGTTTTCTCGGAATGTTCTCATGACCTCTGCTAAAAGACCCTGCCTGTCTTCCGTACATAGCTCAAGTCTAACACCCTGTGATCAAACAATGACCAATTAATCTCAATGACGTTGTCTATCAAATGAATATAAGAACATATGAGAATGAGAAACAGAAGCCATGCCTCAGTTGCCCTTCTTTCCACGGCTGCTTCCAAGCACTGGATAACACGTTGACGCTCTGGTTCTGAACTAATTGGCGTACCATCCTTATGTCTTATATAAAATTCCTGAAATGATAATTAAAAGAATGTTATTTACATTACATAAACCAGACTACTGATAGGAAAGTGATGCAATCAAAGAGTGTTTACCAGATACGCTTGGTCTCTGGTTGTGTTAATAGTTGCGTGAAACACGACATATTCCATGTCCGTTAGATTGCAAACAACATCGAATAGGAGCTTTATTCGATCCTTGCACTGGACATTCACAACTGAATAGCCCCTTTCTGCCCAATTTTGGACGGTCACTACTGGGGTATCAAAGTTACATTTGAATATGGGATTCCTCTCATAATCACGGTCTGCGAACATCATCTGATGCAGTCTTCTTTCAGTGTGCATCACAGACAAAGAGACAGAAGTTCTTGCACTTCTAATGTCATTGTCTCCCTTTAACACATTTCTCAAACGTGCCTCAATTCTATTAATTTTCTGAGCGTCCTCGATGGGGGACCCAGAATTGAAGTCTCTTACAAAGATCAGAGATGCAATCCTGCCATTGTGAGTCCAAACCTTAGCGTCCACCACATTGCATTGAAGATCTGCCAGTACAGCAAAAACCTCCGAGAGAAGACCAACGCGATCCGTTCCGGTTAATTCCAGCGCAGTAAGACCATTAGAATGGTTGGTGCTCCCAATCTGAATGCTTCCAAGAGACTGTCGTAGCACAAGTTAATTAACGTTAAAATCAAACAATCATAATAAATGCACCGCGTTGTAATAACTTCTAGCTGATAAACTTGTACTAGTAGATGTTTTTTTGGTAAACTAATAAATACCTGTTCAATATATGTTAAAACGCTCTCATCCGTTAACTTGCTTCCGTTTTGATCGGTGACATGGAAAACTGTCCAATTAAAGCCAAAAACAAGTGCTTAGAGCATAAACGGAAATCCCAAAACTAAAGTGCGCTGCCATTGGGGGCACTGGAGCAGAAAAGCCCAAAAACCGGGCGTAATATGGAGAAAGAAAAAGACAAAATCACTCACCATCCATAAACCACTTGCCATCAGAGGAAATGTAAGCCTTTTGAATTGAAAGGTTCAGATCAGTTAAAATTTGTACGGCATCCAAAAGAATGCCATGCCTTCTAGCGCTATCAACCTGTGCATTCGAGCAAACCAGATACGGATTGAATATTTGGATTTATCTGAAAACTAGCCTTCCAGCTTATGGAGGAAATTTATAGCGTAATGGAAAGGGTTTCCAAGAGGAAGTTACCTTGACTAGAGTTGCTGTGGGGCAAACGGCATTGTCGATGACAACCCTGTTTACGCCATGATCAGGTCGAAGTCAGTAGTCATTTCTCAGTAAAATTACTTTGTCTCAGATTTAAAATTTGAAATTCAAACTCTCTATATGGCAAAGAAAAGAACAAAAAATATGGAAAATGAGAAGGACGTTCTAGAAGAGGCCAGAGAGATAAGAAAAGTCAAGAAAATGTTTAGAATTCGTATTCTGACTGACCTATTTATGAAGTGGGTGGGAATTACAAATTTTCCAAACCAAATTTGTTCAACTTTTGGCACTACTATCACGAAATTGAATCTTCACAGATTGGAGTAAACGAAGAATGACGGAAACAAAGGATCAGGACGCAACAGGATTTTCTTTTTTAACACAAGGAGGTAAGAATTTTTAAATTTCAAACACATTCAATAATCGTAATGTAAATCTGAACACACAGCTTTTGATAGCAGGATTAAAGAAGCGGGGGAGAATATCAGCGGATGATCCTGTGCACGATGGAAAAACAAAACCAGCCAAAAAAAAAAATGGTTGAACTTGGAAATACAACCAACCAAGGATAGCTATGGTCGTTGTAACACCAACAGATTTATAGCCTACTAAAACTTAAATTGAAAAAAAATGCATAACATATGAAAAATAAAAAAGAAGGATAATTGGCAAACCTTGGAGTGCCCATCCGGAAAACAAGTTTTTCGTATTCGTCCGTACAGGACCAGTCCCTGCCCACGGTGCTTTGCAACATATTTCCCTCGTAGCCTCAGAAAGAGTAAATCTCAGGGAAAAGAAGAACCGTTATAGGAACGGCCCTCGAAGAATCGAAGAGTGAAAGGAAGAAACAGAGCGACCCAGCCCTTTAGCAGGAAGCCCAGAATTGTCCTTGTGCCGTGCGAAAAAACGAATGCGTCATAATCTGAGGCTCTGGCTTTTATTGCTCAACTTCTTCGACCAAATCGCCATAAACCACCCTGACCAAACTCACTCACCTTTTCGGAGCGCTGTCAAGTGTGGATGAGTTACTACGCCCTCTTCACTTTCTTTCCAAGCGCAAAGCACGGCCTGTTCTTAACTCTTTGCCTCCCGCACCGTTTGTCTGTAGGCAGTGCGCGTGTGTATATATATACACCATAAATTATAACACTATTATTCTTTTACACGTCATTATTATATTATTTTGGGAGTTAGAGAGCATTGTCACATGGCGTGACTAACGCCTGCACAATGTCCCTTTACTACTGTTGGACCCTAAGTACAACGTGGACACAGGGTCAACTTGCCAAGACGATACGTGTCATGCTCCCCACCCATCACAGCGGTTCATGATCCAGGTGGAAGACACGTCAGATCTCTGCGTGTTTACTTTGCGTGCGTTGGACTCCAAAAGATGTAGAGGATGTACCCACGTGGCAAGGTGGGCCCAACTTAACTTGGTATTGAAGGTGAGGTTTGCCGACTCGTATGATGACGTCCGCACGTGACAACGCCGCTCGGATCGGCTTTTCCCCTGTCCCATGCTGGGGCTGCTTTTCTCTGGACTTCTACCGGCTCTTCTTCTTCTTCTTTTTTTTCCCGTATTATATTTACTTAATTTAATAATTGTAAGAACATATCTATATATAATTGAACTGTAGAAACAATACAATTAAAAGTAAATGTAAGAGCACATAACTACATCCAAAAAAAATTAATTCACTCTTTTATCATTCACCGCCTTACAACATTAATTAAATAATTTTGATCGCACCTTTTACCTTCTTTCCTCGTTGGCTTTTAAATTTATCTTTTCCTAAATAAATCGATCGTGATCTTTGTTTACTGATTTGAAGCTATCCTATGATTTCACCTTACGTCCGTTTCTCCCGCCAATTCGCTCCCCCTCATCATTTCTGTTACCTCATTTCAGATTTTATATTCCCCACACCTTTTCCGCGATCTGATTCGCTCGGAAGCCTTTCGTCCCCAAAAAAAAAAATAAGATTCGATTGGAAGCCGAAATATCTCATTCGAGTTGCTGGAATTTTCGGAAAATGATGCCCTAACATTGCAGAATCCGACACACAACGATCAAATGCAACGAATGATCTGGCCAGCGCATTTATCTCCCATTCTCACATGATTACACTAACTATTAGGTAGCAAAAAGGTGCATGCCATCATCTACTCGTTTACAAGGGGAAAAAATAGTTTAAAAGGTATAATCCTTGCACATAAAAAAAACCTAAATTACACGCCAAAAACAAAAATCCAAAGAAAATGATGAATTATAAAAACGGGTGAAAAAAGGGCATGGTGGCGAAGACATTTTCGAAAAAAGGGAGGGGGGAAGTCGGGAAGAGGGGGTGTGGTCGGCGGTGAGCCAGATACGCGCGTGATTCATGACGAATAATCAAGGGTGGTGGAAGTCACGCCTCGGCATTGCCTCTCTAATGATGTTTAACGTCCCGATGGCAGGGGACTAAATTCTGGCAGGTATTGTTCCAAAAAAAGCCGCGAGGCGGGACCCACGGGAGGGCCCCCATTGACGGATGGCCATCGCCCACATGCAAGGGTGTCAGGGAACACGTTGCCCGGTTAGATATGATATTATAAAATAGTGGCGTCAACTGTGGTGCTGCTGCGTGGCACGCCCACGACTCCCCACACGATAACGGTCCGCCGTTTGGTGGGGGTTAGGTTTGTTAAGGCGCGGTGGAATTTGAAGGCGTGGCGGGAAGTTAGGAGGCGCTGTGGCTCCCGCCAGAGAGAAGGAGGTGGTAGAAGGGAGTGGGCCCCACCCCCCCCTGCCGCGCGCCCTCCAATTGCGAGGCTTTTGCATTCACCAAGGGACAATTTGCAGCGACGCGGCCTGCGTGACAGCTCTCACACATTCCTTGATCCCAACTTTTTAAATTTTTTTTTTTTATTTTGCGGTCCATCCCATCTTTTCGTAATTCCCGCTCTATTCTCGGGTCTTCCTTCCAAGTTACTTTTTGACCATTTCCATTCGTCGCCCCTCCCCCTGATTTCTTTCCCGCTTGTCTCCTTTCCCACCGGGTTTTAAGCCAGAACTGCCCTGCTTCTAATTTCCCAATATTCACTTTTTTTTTCTCATTATAATAATAGCTCAAGAATCTTATTCTGATTCTGGATTGACTCCCAAAACTGGCACCAAATTAAACATTTTACTGCTTGCTGACTTGCACTTGTTTATTTTAGTGTGGCAAATAAAACAGTGCTGGCGATTCATTCCTGAAGGAGCGGCCGGGTGACGATATGTTGTTTGACGAATTTAAATTGTAGATTGTGAAAGTGGGCGGGGGCCGGGGCGTGATGAAATTTAATACAAAAAAAAAATGAGAGCATAATTTGGGGATATGATGAGAATATTTGCTAAGTAACGTGAACAAACAAACTGACAATGTAGTCCAAGAGGGCGTGAACAGCAAGCAATCCATCCGGCAAGCTATCATCCGGCCACGATCACTACAATGACCGCATTTTTCTAGTGTTCTTTAACAACATAAAATATTCCCGCTCTTTCGTACATCCATGTTTTGAAGAATCACCGTAAAGAAAATGCAGGTCAACAAATCAAATGGATCATAGATGGAGCATATGGGCCACTGCCAAGCAACTGGGTGGCAGTTACAGACGGTTATTAGCCGTTAAAGAAGTCGCTGAGATTTGCCACGGCTTGATTGACCCAACACTCAAGTTGCTTTAAGTTGTAAGTAACTTGTATCATGATATGTTTCCGCTGTAAACTTTTTCTTTTTGTGGTAAAACGGGAATTTACTACTCTCCAATTTTTTTCTCTGAATATGAGACCTAATTAATTAATTCACGAAAATTAAGAAGAGAATCGTTTAAAATATTCATGTCACTTCTCGTAAAATATCCCTTTGAATGAGAGCATTGAACATGAGAAATAAAAAGTGAAAAAAATTATGAAATTAATGAGAGTAGTCTGAACAAAATAAATGAAGAAGATTGAAGTTACCGAAACAAATCTCTCAAATTAAGTCTTACATTTGAAATCAGTTGGGAGCATCATGTTTAAAGTGACAGGAAAAATTTATATATTTGTCGGATATATTGAAGATCAACCTTTCTAAATAGATTAAGACGTATGATCTTTTTATAATATATTTATTCTATGACAAACTCTTGTTGTTAATATTATTAATATATTAAAAATTATTTATTTTAATCTAATTAAATATAAATATATTAAATATATAAGGTTAAGTAACTAAATCTCGCCATGAAGTGATTTACCACGCATTAAATTAATATGGCTCTCCTCTCATGCATGCATTCGTTCACATAGTTTTGCTTTTCTGAATTAAATTACTACTGTTCAAATTAGATTTAGCCTGAAACGCATGCAGCCTTTCCTCTTTCGTTACCCAAACTCGGCCATCAATTAGCTCGTGAAAGTTGAAAATGGCGGAAAACTGCCCCTCGTATCTGTCCTCTCCAATACATTGAGTCCTCGTGTGTAGTAATTGGATGACACGAAGACATGGTCAGTCAAGCAACATGTCCGATGAAAATATTTATTTGTCAGCCCTGATAATCATTATATTAGGCATTAATTATTTAGGCTCTCTTGGGCAGGTCGCGACAAAACCCTTCACACACTCATAGTGTTTTTGGTTGTCTCCAAAAGACCAAAAGCGAACCTGAATCTTGCAAAGCTAGTATATATTTAAATCTAAATTGTCTGCTCGTCGAGTGATATACACAGTCGAGTGTGCTTTTTGACAGCCATGGGGCTTCACTTTCACTTTGTCTTGCTGATGGTATAACGAGACGAGATACGGCACTTGCAAGATTAGGTTCTCGAACAGTCACGCTTGGAGACCACCGAATTACCTGTCATCCTCTAATCTCTCACGTCATAGCTCGATCCCCTCGCCACTCTGGCCTTGTTATCGAATATTTATGCCAGACCTCTGTTATATTTTCATCCACGATCGTGCAAATTATTGGCATGTCTCTGCGTATAATGTTAGACCTTTTTCAGGTAAAAATATAGTCACTTGAAATGATGAATATATAGATGTTGACATGAGCAGGAGAATTAAATAAATATGAAAAGGCTCACAGAACCTAACAAATCACTGTTATATTCATTGGATCGAAACAATAATTCATGCGATAAACATGATATTTATAGTTCGATCGTGATGAATACTATAGTTCTTAATAATTTTTACATTTAATATTGACATTCTCAGGCTGTGAATGTTTACGTTGACAGGCAAAATAGTGGGGAAATAATAAAAGATCACGTGCCAGGGAACACAAGAAAAATCAACGGAGGCGGGATAGGTTCTTGTGTATTTATAGAATTATTGAGTTAGAGACTGCACAGCCTCCTGAATTTCCTGTCCTCGCACATAATCCTGGGCTGTAACGCTGGAATCAGAGACATGCTGATAAACTAGGAGGGAAGGAAATACCAGCAGTAACGCAGTGACATTTATTTTCTGCATGTGGTTGAGCGAGAGGGGCGGAGAGAAATGGATGCATGTAATTGGAAGATGATAAGGAAAGTTAGAAATGAATGATGAATCCAGGAGCAGCGGTTTGACTCGGCCATCCGGGACATGGGACAGCCTGGAAGCGTGGACCCCATGGCCAACATAGGATCTGAGGAGAGTCATGTGAAGATATTAAGTTGACCCGTGCCATCACTTGATTAGGCTGTCCAGCTGTCCCCTGATGAAGGGTCACCTCCTTTACGCCTTTGCTTGGCTGCTTAAACAAGGGACCCATCCGTTAGATTTGGAGGATCCCTCACCTGCCTACCTTAAATCCCATCACTCAATCCACCCCCTTTGATGTCACCCATACGTCCTTCTGCACTTCATCGTTTACTCTCATCACCAACTCTTCGCTCTGCTGCCTGCATCATTCCAAGCTAGTGCAGCTGAGAATCGGGCCATGCTCGAGCTCGTTTATTACGGGTCAGCCCAGAAAAATAGGCTGAATTTCTCGGCCCATCACTTCTTATTACTTCCATGCACTAGCCCCTCCTCTTTCCTAGATAGTTGGCACATCCTACATAACTTAAACCCACTTTTTTCTGCATAGATAGTTGGGAGGTAACGCAAGAAACACACGGCGTCGTTGGTCACCACCCCAGCTGTTTTGGGCCAACCCACCCAAGTCCGAACTGGAATATGGTCAACTGAAAATGGTGGGCTGTAAGCTCACAAGGATTACCCTTTTGCTTGAAATATGACCTAACGACTGAGCTTACAATGCTGTCGTGCTGCTGTCACTCACAAACTCGCAATCCGATCTATGACAGAATATTCTACTGGAGCCGGAAACTGATTGACTTCACTGTACAGTTACACCAACTACTAGCTTCCGGAACAAAGTTGATTATGGGCTGGGCCAAAACACAATATTGGACCTACCTTTTATCTGATTCATATTCCGACGTTAACAGTAAAGGGGTTAGAAAACGAAACAAATTGATTGACAATTGTTGTGTGCGTGTGTGTATCTATATATATTTAAAAAAAAACTAATTGACAATATCATGAGGTGATTTGAAAAAGCACTTAACACTTTCATTCATCGTTCAAGTGTTTCAAAAGGGACTCTGATTTGCTTTGCCATGCAGTCCGTAAAATTCCTCGCGATGTATTGATGGTGTCGAATTGTTGATCACATTTGTGTAACTTGAGCAGAATCATTTGTTACCACCCCGTTACAGAATATTCCTTCCCAGCATAACGTGCCACCCACCCGCATTAAACTTTTCCCTTTTGAGCTTTGATGCTCACCTAGTCACCTTTATATCCGTCGCGATCCATAAATACGGAACAGCTGCACTATCGATGTCATAGTAAAGCGTTAAAGGGAGGCTAACCCGTGGATTGGTGGATTAATCCATTTATTAAAAAAAAAAAAGATAAAAATTGTATAATTGTTCTCAATTCTTAAATCTGCCAAAATTTTAAAACTAAATATATAATTTTAAATAATTAATTTATAAAAATTTTAAAAATGTTTAACATTGAATTGGGCTATAAGATTAAATCTATATTATTCAAATTAGTAATAAAATAAATTATTTAATCTTATAATTTTTATTTCAATAATTATAAAATAAAATTTGTGAAGCGTGGACGTGACAACAAAGAAATGAAGAATAAGTTTTCATTGCCAAAATCAATATCAACATATAATATAAACAAAATTAATATACCTAGTTGCACTTTTTATTCCATTCAATATATAAGAAAAAGCATTTGTTCAAAAAAAAATTTGCATAAGAAAAAACAATTTAGTTATGTCATTTAAAATAAAAGAAAAGACATCAAAATCTTTGTACCATAATATCTGTATTTTCTCATTTACTTTCTAAACTTCTACATATTAGTTATATTTTCATGTTTAATTATGTTTGATTTTTTTGTTTGTGGCAGGTGAAATGTTAAAGAAATCTACTCAAAATTAATGCTATAGCACCTTCTAATAAAGTTTCTAACATTATAATTGATTAAACGAAATCTTCAACTTTTAAATTGTAATTAAATTTTTTACTTTGTTTGTTTGCAGTTGATATATATTTATTTTGAACTATATTAATGGATTTTTAATTTATATTTTTTAATAATTTTAAAATATTTTTATTTTTATTTGAATAATTAATTTTTTTTAAAAAAATATGTTTTTTTTATTAAAATAAAAAAAATTAAATTTATAATTTTTAAAATTAAAAAATATATATATATATATATAAAATATTTTTAATTGATAGGTTAGTCCGTCAACCCATCAACGTTACGGGCAGAAATATAACTCACCTAAAATATGAGTTATGCCAATTCACCTCGCTAAGCCTGCAACTTATCGTGGGCTAACCAGCGGCTCTCGAGTTAACCCAGGTTATCATCTTTAAACTTCTAACCTTTCCAAACAAAACAAAAACCTCGGATGGGCGAAGTCCATGAACTCCAAGAACCAATCTTTCCATTTTGGTGAGAATGGCTGCTGCGAACTTCTTATCCAAGCTTTCCACATCGAATCTGGTCTTGCAGTCGGATTTCAGAGGGTTTTGCCATCCTCATCCCCGTCAACCTCAAATCCTTGACAATTCATGGCTGGGTACCAAACTTTCGATTCAACCTCAACCTAATAATGTCAGACCTCCCGTGTCCAAGCTCCGCCCTCTCGTTGCCACCGTCTCCTTCAGCCTCCCCACTGCGTAAGTCCAAATCCCGCACTGCTCTGTTTCTGTCCTTTCAATTCTCTTATCTTGGGTCTTCCTGATTGCTTCTGATTTCGTATTTGCAGAAAGCCCGAGCGAGCTTCTTCCGGCCAGAAAGTTCCCAAGTGAGTGTAGCCATATGCTATTATATTCCTATCTTTCTTTTGTTAATTTCGTCGTTAGAGGGTTTGCTTGGTTGAGTCGAATTACTTCAAATGCATCGAGGTGGATATATATTTATATAGGAGTGAAATTTACGTCGCCCTTGCTTGCTACAAACTAGTTGTTGAAAATGAAAAACTTTCTGTTGCACTCTATTGTCTCCTCTTATTAGCATGGCCGTATTTTTATTTATTAATTTATTTATTTTTTTTAATCTTCCTTCGCCTTTTGCTGAGAGTTTGACAATTAATTTCGTTTGGTGGAAGCAGATGGTCTTCGAAGGCTATAAAATCATTTGCAATGGCTGAACTGGAGGCGAGAAAACTTAAATATCCCAGCACTGGTACTGAATCCCTTCTCATGGGACTTCTTATCGAGGGTAGGCCAATTCTTCTATGCTAAGCATTCTCATCGTTTTCCTGTTGTCATACCATGCAACTGTCTACATTAATGTTTCTTCACTTAATGTTATCTAAACGGAAAACCTGCTATTTTCCAGTTGCCATTGTAGAGCCTAGCGTTTCATCTTTATATTTAAGATTGACATTGAAAATAATATTGGCAGTTTGACACTGCTCGGCAATAAAAACAAATGTTGAATCTCAATATACGCTTTATTCCCATGGGAACTTGGCTACACGTTATTTTGTATCCCCTGTATTCTCGCATACTGTTGTATCTTCTTATTTGGAATACGAGGTGCATCATCTTTCAATGTCATTGTACCTTCGCTGATAGCGAGTTATGAGAACCATTAACACATTAACCACCAACTAACCATCACCCCTTTCGAAATTTCTACCTTTTTTCTGCTTGTTACTCATTACAAACAACTCCCAACTGATAATGCATGTCTTCTTGTTTATAAAAGCAATCATGGCTAAAAAATTGTCCTTAAAATAGTGTCTTACTGTTGGGCCAAGTCTATATTCAAAGCCCCCCATATTCTTTAAGAACAAGATGATGAGATAACTTTTCATTTTATGGTAACCATTTGTACTTCTGCAACTGCTGGACCGCTAAAAGAGGTTTTCTTTCATTGTGGAGCCTTATAAAAATTGTCCAACGCTGTTTACCGGTTTCATTTGAATGTAAATCCCAGACATTTCAGGCAAACTTATTGAATCCTTGACATTTTTAGGTGCTAATCTGTAAATCATGCTACTGAAATGCTTCAATTCTTGTATGTTGCAAAGTCATGACATTTTTTTTTCCAGAGCCTTTTATTTATTTCTTCCCTTTTCTTGCTCCTGTATCATTTTTCCCTTTTTAAATATACAGGGAAGAAAGATTTTGGATGTGTAAGTTTTATGCACTATTCTGAGTTTATGCATAGCACGGAGTCTTTCTTTGTGCTGTAGGAACTAGTCTGGCCTCTAAATTTTTGCGAGCCAATGGAATCACACTTTTAAAGGTGCGAGATGAAACTTTGAAGCTGCTTGGAAAAGCAGATTTATATTATTTCAGTCCTGAGCATCCTCCACTGACTGAAGAAGCCCAAAGGGCCCTTGACTGGGCCGTTGATCAGAAACTTAATTCTGGTTCGTTGTTATTATTTTTCTCATCTACAGTAGAGTATAGAGTTGGAAAACCAATTACGTGTTCTTTCGTTTGTGTGTTGCTCTCTCTTGAATTTCTCTATTGCTTTTATGAGCATATACATCTCGGCTATTATCCTGTCAAGTAAAAACCATTGGTTGAGTTTCATTGTCAAAGCTTTTACTTCTATACACATAGTAGGTGAGCAACTTTTAAGTGCTCGTCAGTTGAGTAAATTGTGTTCGAATAAAATTAAAAGTTTGGTTCTAATACCACAATAATCAAGTATACTTTTGAATTTTGTCTTATTTTTCCTCCTCGACTTCTTTTTGTGCCAAAAAGAATTGTCAAACTATACTCGTGATGGCTTAGTCTTAGTCTGTTTGTGTTGTAAGTTGTCCTTTGGATTTAAATAATAGAGAAGACTCGTATTCTGCTTTTGGGAGTCATGGTTGCTGAAAAATCTTAAATTATGTATCAAAAGTTCTGAAGCAATGTGGGAACGGAACAGATGAAGCAAATAATGGTATTTGAACGAACCTTCTTCTACTGCTAAACAGAGAACCATTTGTGGGTTCCTATTTCCTGGAGAACTGGCAATTTTCTAGATGGTGTTTACCTTTTTATTTGGTCCTAATATTTCTTGTCACCCATGAGATGATTTTTGTTACTTATGTTGACGTACTGTGACATGGGTTTTTATTACTAAGCAGAAAATGAATATGTAATATATATCGATGCCAACTGGTTTGCTTCAAGCTGGAGTTTTATCTTCTGGCCTATTATATTTAATTATATAAAAACTTAAACACCACCTAGTGGGATAAGGCTTGTTGTTGTTATATATAAAAACTTAACCCCCCCACCAAAAAAAAAAAAAATTCATTGGCTTTTGTATGATTATTATCTGTGCATAATGCTAAGAATTTAATCCAATTGCGACTCCATATGGGACTTTGTTGTAGGTCATGATGGCGACATTACCACAACACATTTGCTTCTGGGCATCTGGTCTGAAGCAGAATCGCCTGGTCACAAGATACTGTCCACCCTTGGCTTTGATGCTGAGAAAGCTAAAGAGCTAGAGGCCTTAATGTCTAATCCTAAATTTACAGATGATTGATGTTTTACTTTATATTTATAAACAAAAGTATTGCTTTGAGTGCACTGTAATCATTATTGCATTTGTTTGTATAATAGATGAAGGGCCTTTCTGCCCCACTGATTTCATTTTCATCTCTGTTACTTTCAAATATAATTCCAACAAACGAATACGCTGAAAGAAGAAACAACAAACAACGCACTCCATAATGCAAAAAAGAACAGACATTCTGGAGCACAATGACTGTCAATTTGTGGTTTATAGCGACCATCTCAAGATGGCGGAGGCACTAAAGAATGAAGATGAACTGGGTGAAAAAACTCAACTAATCTACAGAAATTAGGGGCCCAGTCTGCTGCATGGTTAAGCTGGGTATTAGTGATGCGGACGTACATGTTTTTAAATTGAACTTCTTGTTGTACTTTTAACATTTTCAATGGCCTCTGTTCGTTCATTTTCATCAAACACTTCTTGGTGCTGCACGCTTGAAGTTAGCGCTTGTGCCTTGCGAGCCTCCTCGTCCCAATTTATCCTGGCAATAAGTACCAGTATGAGCATCAAGCAGGCGAAGATACCAATCGCAAGTCCAAATAATAGTCCACTGAGCCCAAGATGGAGCTTGAAGGCAAAAACCACACCCAAAGGCAGAGCCAGGAGATAAAATCCACCCAGATTCGCATACAGGCCTAACCATGGTCGTGCTGTTCCCCTAACTATGCCTCCACAAACAGCTAGAGGAAAATTAAACACTTCCACAAGAGCCATCAGCATCATCTTCTTCTTCACTCCCCTTATGATTCCTTTGTCATTGCTGAACAGTGGGCCCCATATTCCCCTCGCACCCACCATCACCGAGCTGCCCATACAACCTGACAATATGCCCCCTCCTAGAGACACACAGGCGGACCGGTAGGCTTGGGCCGCTCGGTTCGCGCCGAGCTCATTGGACACACGGGTCGAAACACAGGTGGCCAGCGTTAACATAACTGACAATAACAAATAGTCGAAGTTGAGCACGACGGTTAAAACTCCTACAGCTTGTTTAGCTTCTGCAAGGTGGCCGGTGAGCAAGACTAGAATCTCATAACACCACCACTCAAGGCAGGTATAGAAACAGCATGACCCACTGAGCTTCAGCAGCGTTATCCAAGTCTCAATGCTGTGGTCCCACCAACCTCCTTCCTTCCACCTGCTCTCCTTCCTGTTTTCAAGAATCGAGACATAAATGCCCAATAGAACCACAAATATCAGGTCGGTTATCCAAACTGCCATGGCGACTCCTCTGAGCCCCATAGCCTTTGTGAGGACCATGTTTACGGGTATGTGAAAAGCAAGAGCTAGAGCTGAACTGAACATGGTCGGAACAGTTATGCTTTGAGAGCTCAAGTAGGCTTTCAAGGGACAGAGAAATGAGGCGACTACCAAGTCGGGGATGAGATATTTGGCATAGGTTCTGGCCACGACAGAAATATCTTTCTGTTGGCCAAAACGAATTAAGATCTTTTCGATGTTAAGCCACAAGAAAGAGATGGGAAGTGTTGAGACGAGCAATAAGAGGATTGTCATGAGAAGAGTCTTGTGAAGTAGCCTGAAGTTTTTGGCACCATAAGCTTGTCCACAGATGGGTTCCATGGCACCGCACAGACCGTTCAAAACAGAGAAGCCAGTAACATTGGCAAAAGTGAAACCCAGGGCACCGCCGGCTAAGTTGAGCTCCCCAAGGCGGCCCAGAAAAGCAGTGGTGATGGCTGTCTTGGCGAACCAAGCTAAGTTCATGACCATCAACGGAATGGCTATTCCACGTTGAATGTTGAGCTCCAAAAGCACTAGCTTGACAAGACCGGAAGGGCATTCTTGAGCAACAGACGGCGAAGATGAAGCGTCTTGGGTGGTTTTGTCAGGTTTAGATGCTGCCGGTGACATTTTTTGCTGTGAGCTTAATGTGAGAGAATGTTGAAGATACAGTTACGCGTCCGTTGGCTTTATTTGTGGGTTGGACCCGAGATTTTTGATAGGGGTCAAGTGCATGAGTTTCGTGTGGGACGGATCGTTTTCTGGGAAAGACTAGTTGGCAGGCTCTTTTCTGTTGCCAATTAAAGAAGTGATTGTTGGCAGACTTAAATATAGATTTATAGATAGTGCGTGAAGAACTACTACGATTCTGGCCGGTTATTGATCGCATTTATTCCCATTTGCACCAACTGCTGAATAAAGAGCCTCTTGCATTTCCCAACCAGCTGCCTCAACACTATCTTTTTTCGTTGTGACGCTTTCTTTGGAAAAAAGTTTCGTATATCCTTTGTCAATTAGTACTTCATATATAATATTTCCTTCATTTTAAATTATAAAATACTTTTAAAAAAGTTTTTTCACAGTGAAATATAAAAAATTTTAAATATCTTAAAATTTTATTAAATATACTAATTTTAATATTATTTTTTATTTTTTTATAATTAATTTTTATCCCTTCTCTTTTCAATATATTAAATGATAGATATTTTTAAAATTTTATATTTTTATTTTTAAAAAATAAAGTTATTAAATATATTTAATAAGATTTATTAGTATGTGAGATTTTATTTAAAAATATTTTATAATCTGATGGAGAGAGTATAACCAATTTTTACCTCTTAGCACCCCATAATTAGTTTGTAGGACACGTTAAGTCTCATATACATGTGACACTGTAATCGCTAAGTCACCACACACACTCCATTCTTTATTTTTGGACATTTTCAAGAAAGATTATTTTATCATTGATATAAAGTACATGGAAGGTTACTTATTATCATTGTTAATTTTATGCTTATTATGAATTTAATTTTATTCCCCATCATATACTATGTAATGTGTATCTCTCTTCCTATTTTTGATAGGGGTAAAATTGATTTTTTTTTATTTTTAGACATATTTAATAAGTTAACTATATTTTTTAGTTTTGGTGCAGTAATTGAAAATATTTTATAATAAAGACAAGGAGAAGTATATGAATCGACCAATTTGATTATAAAAAGTCACAGCGTTTTGTAAATTTAAAAAAAAATGAGAAAGAATAAAATCACCAAATGGAATATATTATATGCCTTCAGTACTAGAGAATGGGGAGTAACGTCGTCCGCGATTTCCACCTCCATTTGACCTGAATACTGCATGCGATGGATAGGATACCAAGTCTATGACATATAGATTAGATATGAGAATATAATCTTTGAATCTTTACTGAGAAGTATCAGGTTCATTAAAATTCTTGCATTTTATAGCGTGGAATAAAGTGGAATCATGTGCTTAGTATATGTTGGAATAAAACATGTATTAATAACATTTCCGTAACGAGTTTGATAATTAATGTAATAATGTTTAATTATTGGCACTTTTCGGGGTGCTATTGGTAGGTTTTCTCTTTTTTCATAACGTTGATAACTAATCGTTTAAAGTGATGAAAAGTACAAAATTTTATCAACACAATTAAAGAATGGTTCTCGATATCATTGAATCTCCAATTTTATATTAATGGATTTAACTCTTCACATATGCATAGGAGAATCTCCCAATATAAATGTGCCTAAAACTTGTTCTTTAAAGGCTTTATTCTTTCTTTGTATATTCTTGTTGACATGGGCTGACACATACTGCTACGAGATTTTAGATTAGGATTTTGTATACACCACATACGAATGTTTTTAGAATATATTAAAAAGTCTTACATTGATTAATTAAAGAGTGAATTGAAGGTATATAGGATTAAGGGTTAATGAGTATCTTAAATATTAAATTATTGTGTGAATAGCATGCTGAATCCTGAACTCTTTAAATACACAAAAACTTTTTCAAATTTTAAATTTCAAGCATTTGAAACCTCACTTGACCTTTAAAAATAATAAGTGTTTTCTCCAACTTAACAATGAGGTTTCAAACGCTCAAAATTTCTACATATTTTAAAAATTTAGGATTTAAAATATTATTCGCACAATAGTTTAAGATCTAGAATATTTATTAACCCTAAGATTAAAGTAAGTTCTATTAAACTGGTTTACTCTATTTTTGATATATAGAAAGACAAACTTAGTATATACCAAATTCTTAAAAGTTTAATATGATATCAAAGCTACTTGATTTGGGACAAGAGAAAAAAAGAAGAAATAAAAGAAAGGGAGGATTAAAAACATCAAGAGAAAAAAATGAAAAATGAAGATTGTGCATGAGTCCTCCGAGACTCAAAAACTATAAGCCCATGCAAAAGAAAGATAAAAAAAATTGCATGAATGGAAGAAGAAGAGATAAAGAAAACATGACAAAGAAAAAAAAATTAATGGGATGAATATTAGAATATATTAAAAAGTCTCATATTGATATTGATTGTTCATAAGATTAAGATTATAAGTTCTATTAAACTAGCTTATTAAGTTTTTTTAATAGAAGATAAGTTTAACATACACTTAATTTTTTAAAATTTAATATGATATCAGAGTTATTTCATCTGGGATGAGAGAAAAGAAAAAAGAAAGAAAGAAAGAAAAGAAAGGAAAGATGAAAAAACATAAAGAGAAAAAACTTTTTTTAAAAAAAGCATGCAAATTGTGAACTTGGGTCTCGGGAATTAAAAAAAATATAGCTTAGGCGAAAGAAAAAAGAAAAAATAAATAAATGGAAGATGAAGAGATAAAGAAAATAACACGATGGAAAAACAAAAACAAAATAGTAGGAGAAATATTAAAATTATAATATATTAAAACATTGATTAATTAGAGAATGGATTAATGTTATGTTTAGATATATTTGGATTTAAATTTAAGTTAAATTTTTTGTTTGAACACTTAAAAAATTATGGTTTTAGATTTTGAGAATTTGAAATATATGAATTTTAAATTTGAGATTTAAAGGTGAGATTTTAAATCCAAATTCACTAATTCAAATATTACTTAAATGTATATAAAATTAAAGTGAGCCCTATCAAATTGACTTAAGCTATCTTTATAGAAAGACAAAATATATACCTAATTCTCAAAAGTTTAGTAGGTTTGAATCCCCTTAAAATTATTTAAAGTATCGTTTAATAAGATAGAAAAAGCACCCGTGCAACGACTCTTAAAAATCTTAAAGGCATGGTTGGGTCATTGGGACTTGGAATTGTGAATCAACTACTATGTGCTGGTTTGGATTTGCTCATATAGTTGATAAAAAAATAAACCCAAGCGCCTCCATTTACTCATAATCAGTTATTTGGGTTGTAACTGCGTTTTGGAATAAACTTAAAGGAATAGCTTCTCTATGTCAATTTTGTGAAAATCAATTTTTTAAAAATAATATCTAAAATGATCACATTATAATATAATCAATTATAATTAAAATTAATCATACCCAATTGAAATGCAAATGCATCTATACCTATGTTATCTAATTTTAATAAGTCCCGACCATTGTTTTGCAGATTCTTGATTCTAGTAATCTCTGCAACTTGTTATTGGCATCTTGCAGAGTAGAATTTAGATCGCCTTCCAGTCCAATTGCTTAAAAAAAAAAACTAAAAAAGAGTAAAAAGGGATTATATTCTTGGGTGGAGTACTGTGATTAACTAAGACCCTAATATATCGTAAAAAAGCATAATACCCCGCAAAAGAAATGGAATTTTAAAGGTGAGATGAAGTCTAAAAGACATTGGAGGATATGAGAGAATCTCAAAGGGTAAATACAGGCACGAGGAATAAGAATATACCCAACAAGTGCGAGTTTAACAAACACACAATCAAGCACCTGTTTGGATTGAGGGATTAATCAATTTTAGGGGCAAAAAAATTGATTAATGCAAAATTTATCCAAACACAACTTTTTCCCAAATTGATTTTTTTCCCACAGCTGCGTGATTCAGCTCTTCTGCGTTTTTTTTTTTGTTGTTGCAAAGTTATATGGAAAAATTACATAAAAGGTCCAAGGAAAAAAAACATAATAAAGTACAAAATTTAATAAAAATAAAATAAAACTCTCTTCTCTTCTTTTTTTTTAGTAAAGTTTAAACTTTGAATCCTTAAAAAAATTACTAGCATAAATATTCAAATAGATTATATTATAACATAATCAATTATGATTAAAATTTATCATTTAATTAATTATTTTTATAATTTATTATATTCAATTGAAATCCAAATAGGCACCAATATATTATCAACAGAGGCATAGTCATGATGTAAAATTTGCAATATTTGTAACCCATACATTAGAGTAGTGTGAGACTAATTGATTCCTTAGAGGACTTCTAATACAATCTTGAGGACCTACAAGATCTTTTCTGACATGGGTCCATTATTTTTTGCCCCCATTATTGATAATTTAAAAATTGGATTAGATCGAACGGTTCAACTATCACCTACTGATCCAAACAGTCTGGTCCAACTAAATGAACCAATCTAGCAGTTGAATTGGGTTGACTTGGTCAGTTTTGAGAGAATTAGGTTTGACCTGAAAACTGCAATAGGTCAATTGAGTTCAAAGTGAAAAAAACAAAAAAAATTAGGTTAAGTTGCTCAGATTTACATTTTTTCTTTTTTAATTTCTAGTTCTCTTCTATCTTCTCTTATCTCATTCTTAATTTCTCCTCCACGATCTAGACTCAATCTTTGACCTCTCCTCCAACCTACCTCCAACTTTAGTAATCCAGCTTTTGGCATTGAGATTGAAAGCTCATGAATCATGATATAATAGTGTGCCTCCAGCTTTAGTATTTTGCTTCAAGATCACAACCTCATGTCGGTATGCCTTTGCCTACAACTCCAGCTGTCCAGGCTTCTAGCCTTTGGGGTCGAGATTCCAAACACCATCAAAAAAATTAATATTTTATTTATATATTTGTATATATAAATATTATTTTTATTTAATTTTTATATCATCAATTTGACCATCGGTCTAACTAGTTGAACCATAAAAACAGTTATCTGTTATTATTTTTGGTTCGGGTTTTAAAATGTTGATTGATATCTACTTTCCATTAAAGCACAGATTCCCAGTGCACACTACAAACTATAAAGTGATAAGGTGGGAGGAAGGTCTGTCCATTAACATAACCTAAGCTAATCACGTAGTTATCTTTTTCGTCCCACTTACTCATATGGCCTCCAATCATATTCCATAATTTGGAAGCACTTATGGCAAAGAAAGCTTCGTGCAA